ATGAGCACAGAGGACGTTTGGGGCAGTGAAAATACTCTATCTTATACCACAGTAATGGATACATGACACTGTATATTTATCTAAACCCATAGAATGTACAACACCAAGAATGAACCATAATGTAAACTATGGACTTCAGGTGATTATGATGTGTCAATGTAGGTTCATCAATCATAATAAATGTACCACTGTGGTGGGGGAAGTTGTAAATGAGGGGGACTGTGTATGGGGGGGGGGGCAGGGCAGGAGGTAAGTGGAAAATCTCTGTATCTTCCCCTCAATTTTGCTGTGAACCTAAAATTGCCCTAAAAAAAGTCCCAAAACAGGGGCTGGCCCCGTGGCCGAGTGGTTAAGTTTGCGCGCTCCGCTGCAGGCGGCCCAGTGTTTCGTTGGTTCGAATCCTGGGCGTGGACATGGCACTGCTCGTCAGACCACGCTGAGGCAGCGTCCCACATGCCACAACTAGAAGGACCCACAACGAAGAACTTATAACTATGTACCGGGGGGCTTTGGGGAGAAAAAGGAAAAAATAAAATCTTAAAAAAAAAAAAAGTCCCAAAACAAAATACAGGGCAGGTTTTTATAAACATATCTCCCCATTCAATCATTCTACATATGTATTATATACTTTTAATCAGCATAACCACAATTTAGCATAAATTTTTCCATGTTTTACATTGTTTCTGTAACTGTTAGTTTTATGGCTTCATAATAATTCATTTAGGATATTTATTCATTCATACTGTAATTATCTATTGAAGATTTACTATGTGCTATTCAAGGTCACAGGAATGCACTGCTAAGCCAAAGCACCTGCATTTACAGAGTTTACAACATTCTCGTGTGTGCATAGTTGATATATAATCATTCATTTAACTTTTTATTATGCTGTATAATTCTTTAAGAGAACATTGTATATATCCTGTTATTCAGGCTTGAAGATCCTTTGCAGGAAGAAGTAACGTCATGGACCAAAAAATATTTTGCTTACTTAGATGTTGTTCTGTAAATTGACTTTCCAAAAGAAGATGGGAAAATAAAGGTATATATATATATTGCCTAGTGAGTTGAACCAAGAAACTACTTAGCTGATTCATCAGGATGAAGGGCCAGGGTACAATCACGTTGGACCTGTTTTTCATTATAAATTAAGGCCCTCTGTATTTCTTCCTGACATGCAATATAAAGACATAAGGACTCTCGTATAAAATATTTTATTACTATATGACATTTTTTACCCTGCCAGAAATATTGCCTCTTAACCCTAAACTTATAGTAATGTCCAAGCTTGTAAAATCTGTTTTTGAAAATTAAATAAAGCCATAAAATATGTTTATATTAAAGAATACTATTGGCTTATGAAGATAGTATTTTACTTGTTCATTTAAATTATAAATGACCTCCTTAGCATCCTAATTTTCTCCTTTCCTTATTACAATATGTCAGTATGCTTGGAAGCTCTGTGCAGAGAGGTGGCGGTTCGGTCCGCTTGTCTCCCTGTGCTGTTGGTATCAAGCTGGCATGAAAGGTGCCTCTGGGAGTTTTCTGGATCGACAATGGCACAAGGTTTATTTCTTCCGTATTAGATTATTACAAATCTCACCTGTTTCCATTTTTTATTTTAAATAGTTCTACTTTAATCTTGATTAAAACTTTTTTCTAATTTTATAATAAATTTCAAAAGTAGCAATTTCAGTTTCAAAAGTATAACACTTCTGTGAGTCTTGATACGTACTGCTACATATTTCTCCAGTATATTCCTAGCAGCCTAGGTGAAGCCAGTTTGATTTTATGTTGCGGTCCTCTAACTTGTAATTACCTTCATCTATACTGTTTTCTCACTACAGGATCTTTAAACTGGGAGTAGGAAGGATTAACAGAGGCAGTCAGGAGTCATGACTATTCGTTTTCATCTCCACTGTACCCTTTCTCCACTTGGCTAAATACCACTTACTTTATTTAACTATTTGCGTCTGTGATCACAAAAACATTTCTTTCTGAGCTGCAGTTCATTTAACAGTTCTATATTTGGAAAAAAATCCTTTTAAATCACATACTGTAGACATTGATTGCTCTCTATTCCCCTTATATTCATTTGTTCAATGATTTATTCAACGTCAAATGTCAAAAATGTTGCGGGAGCTATGCCAAGTGCTGAGGATTCAGTGTCTCAAAAAACAGTCACTTATGTGAATTTGAACTTCTGTGACAGTTTTCTACACAACTACATTCCCCTCCTTGGTATCAGCACTGGTACCAATGGACATAACCAGAATTACATTTTAGAGAGATTCCCCAAACTCTTGAGTGTTTACTTATTTTTAAGATTGCCACATAACTCCGTCTCTCTCTAAAAAACATTTTCTTTGAAATCTATCTTTCTTAGTTTAAGTGCCTAACTATACCTACTCTCTGTTTTCTTACTGACATAAGTACTAGATAAAAATATTTGCTTTTTCCCCCAGGTTGTCAGCTAATCCCTTTCCCACACCTCTCCATTCTCACATCCCTCAAAACTCAGACTCTGCAGTTTGGATTAAGAGAAGTTTAGTATCTTCTTCTTCTGTGGAAAGAGACTGGCAGACGGCCGTCCAGTTCACCTGAGATGGGAGGAGAGATACAGGGGCTTGAGGACATTCAAAGTTTTTGATTCTGGATTCTCTGCACCTTTTATCTCTTCCCTTTAACACAGTTACTCAGAAACACCAGTGTTAGAACTAACATTTACCTTAAGACTGCTGTGGGAGAACTTGGGCTGAAGTAAAACTTCTCGGTAAGCTCCAGTGAGGCATGCATCTTCTACTGGTGTAATAAATATTTTTTGAGCTCCAGGCACTCCTGTAGACACTGCGTTCTGCCTTGCTGGATAACTGGAAGTGTAGCTACATCATTCTTCCACTACTAACTATCTCTCAGTTATCAGATGTGAACACAAACTTATTTCTACCACTTAATAAGTTATTATATTTGTTTTACCATAATGCAGACTTTGTCATGGCTTCTAAGTTTCTTAGGAGATAGAAAAATCTGGCTAAACGATGTTAGGTATTTAAAATTATTTAAAATAGTATATACTATTTATTAATAAATAATTTAGCACAATTCTTGGCTCATTAAAAGCATTGAGTAAGTATTGACTATTATTTTAATCTTATCAAACTGTTATACATTGGTCATTTGATAGCAGTAAAAGTTAAATGTAAAAATACTAGAACTATTTAAATATTCATTTTCACCTCCCCAAAATTATGAAAGTATTTTATCTTTTTAGTGTATTTCCTCAAATTTTATTCAGTGGTGAAAAGCATGCTTTAAAGTTGTCTTTAGTTCATAGAATCCAGACAAGAATAGTACATCAGGTCCATTATCCTCCTTTGATGAGAAGTGCATCCAAATTAAATTGTGATTAAAATTTATCTATTCTTTTCTCAAAATTGAAAAAGATCCCATTTTGTGACTTCTGAAAGATGTTTGAAAGCCTTATATCTGGAGAGAATTCTTTCTAATTTCTAACTTTAATATCCCTCCTAATCCTGAGAATTATTCTTTTCTCAAAATTAAATTCACTAATTCTTCACAATTCTTACATGTTTACGTATTTGAAAGCATTCCAGGTTCTTCACGTTCCTTTTAAGTAATAAAAAAGATTAAACATCCTGTTTATTAGATTGGGGGTAAAGGGGTTGTATTGCGCTGCCAGTGACAACAGTCACTGAATTTTAGAACGAATGGCATTTGTTGCATTATTGGTGTATTTAGGGAAAAACACAGTCCACTTGGAATGTAATGCAAGATGCACATTTTTTTATAGAAAGGATATAAATCAAGGGGTAAATGAGAAAAAATTGTGTGAGCCAGTTCAAAATGAGAAGAAGGAAAATTGTACAATAATCAAGTTATCTTCAACATTTTAGAATTTTTAGGAAGAAATGGGAGGATGATCTTTGACTTGGCAGTAAAAGGAATTAAGCTGAGCTGAAAGGGAAACTGTATATCTAATTGGAGACAGTATAATGACTTATCATAAACATTATATATGGGCCTGATGTGGTCAATACTCATATTCAATTGGTAAGCAGACACAGAAATTAAATGACAGAATGATGGGAATGAGTATAGATTACGTGTTGCTGGACAGTAGAAATCCCTTTTACTCACACTGTCTCCTGGTCTCTGGAGTGAAGTGGATGCTCAATAAACGTCTCCTGAGAGTCCAGCAGGAGAAGTGTAGACAGACCGTGAGCTCTGAACTGATGCTCCCCGGCTGCTACTGCCACACTGGGAAAACATGCGCCCTGTTCCCATATCACTGGAATCCATCCACTCTTCCTTTTGTTTTCCAACCCCTTTACCCAACTACCTGCTTCCTTATCCCCTACATGTTACCAAAATAGCCCCCATTATTTCTAATAATTTTGTCTAACAGAACACAAGAGGCATCGCTTCCTTGACATCAATTTCACCTGGCCCCGGGCATTCTACTTCTATGACAAAATCTCTTCTTTCCGTGTGTCCATTTGTTTTCCTACCTCTGTTTTTATTTTCACTCTATCTGAGGTATAAATTATCAATACTAACTCATTACAGGCATACAAAGTGAGGTGCACTTTCAGTGCAATATTTTCATGTGTATAGATAGTTTTTATGTGTAGATCACATATCTCATATGTATGATATGTGACATGTATATACAGACAAATTACATGGGGGTGTATATTTTTATTACATCTTCTCATATGATTAAAAGAATCAAAATGATTACCTGAAAAATCATCTTTCAAAATTTACTATAGGATTTTATATATTTAAATTATCATTTTATAACAATTTTGTGTCCAAGACAATAGTATAATGAATACTTTTTATTTTAAAGGAGTGGAATCTTGTGGATTTAAGAAAATTGTAACATAAATCTTTTTTGTCTGTGAGTTACCATATATATTCGTATATATGCAATATATGTATGTACATACATCTCTGTTTTTTTTAATACTTTAAAGGGTCACATAATAGCATCCTGCGATGCCTGCGGAGTTACAAAACTATGGGACTTCCGGAAGCTCTTACCGATTGTGTCCATTGATGTAGGTCCGAGTCCTGGCAATGAGGTGAACTTTGATCCATCAGGTAGGATCTTTTTGTTTAATGTTTCTGACCAAGCTAACAACTTTACATTTGTTCTGAAACTATTTTCTATTTCTACTTTAGTTTCTTGGTGTTTCCTCCTATGTAAATTTCTGTTCTTAATATTGCATCAGAATATATTACATTGTTATATTTTCTCATATTTTATATCATATCTTGGAAGCATTATATTTATCATATATGTAAAGGAAGGAATAATAGAGGAAATAAGTGTGTGTTAACATAGATAACACAAGTTGCTGGCTGTGGTGTGCAAAATTTAGAGTTTATGTCCCTTAGAATCACCATCCAAGGTAAGTAAATTGGATTTTTTGAAGGCAAAATGATTGAGAGTAGAGTAGAACAAAATTTTAGCAAAAATGAAATTGAAACATTTTGATGAAATATTTTAGTCATAATAATTTAATAAATTACCTCATGTTCTCTAGGTTTTGCAATTAATTTGAAATATATATTCATCTTGTTGCAATTACATGATCTTCATTCTGTAATGATATTATTTGATTGTGATTAGCATTTTTTTGCAATAATATAAACATTATCAATCAGATAAAATATTTTATCTTTGCTGATCATGTTTAACACACACAATTCCAACTGTCCATTTAAAATGTTAAAATTATAGTTACATCTGTATCTTTAATGATAGCCTTTGCTAAATAAAGAATATATATCTCTTATTGGATAACATAACTTTCCTTTGCTAGTGTGATAAAGGTTTTAAACTTTTTTAAGTTTTGAGAATTTTTAAAATTTTTGAGATTTATTTGTGGTAGATGAAAGTTGTAGAGATGACAATTGTGAATAAAGAAATAAAAATGGAATATATATATAAAGAAAATGATAACAGTTCATTTTAAAATACTTGATATTAATTCTGTAGCGCAGAAGGAATGAATATACCAGAGCTATAAGATAATTGTGTGTTTTGTGGGACTGGTTTCATGATATTGCCATCACACATCTGAAATGTAGAATACAGCAAGTTCGTCTAATTAACAATCTTTAAGTTGTGTTCCCATTACAGACTGGTATATGAATCACACTAATAGCGATGGCTTCTTTAAAAATGTTTTCAATAATGTTCTTGGTATTAAAACATGTATGGTCTGTCAGAATTCAAAAAGAAAGACTGAAACAAACAAACAAACAAAAAAACACTGTACAGAATAAAAGATCCCAATTATGAGAATTTTTCATTTTACAATGTGAAAGCCTATTAATATTTCAATTTATACTTTCTGATATACAGAATCTGCATTGACATCATAGTTCTAAAGGAGCTTTAACTTGGTTTTCATGAGCATTTTCACATCCTAAAGTCCCTTTTTATTATCTTGAGCTAGCATCCAAATATTCATCTCCGTGAACTTTGAACTCTGAAATTTCAAAGTTTTGGCTGTACTTTCTAATAACAGAAGTTAAAGGGTGTCTTGAAATGCTGTACAACTACTAATATATATTATACTGTCCCTATTAAATATGTTGCCACTTGCCTTTTACTGCCTGTGTCATCCAGCCCAAAGGTTCTTTTCTATGCACAGACAGGTAAACCTGATTTTAAATAAATATCAGTACCTATCTTACTGTCATACGTGTCAATATCATCTTAAAGTCCTTGGTACGACAAACTTATTTTTTTCTCTCCATGACTGCTACTGTCTGGCAATACACTAATATTAAGAGAAGCACAAGAATCATGAGTGGAACAATGAGAAACACAAGAGACAAAGAGTGTAAACTAGGGACCCTGTTAATGAAAACACTTCATCAGTTTGAGGGAATACAATTTCAACCTGACCTTCCTATCCTTTTGACCATTTCTTGAGGGAATATACTATAATTAATTTTAATTCTGTGTGTTTGAGAAATTAATGTCATAAGCATTTTTCTCATTGAATAATGAGAAATGTGTGCTTCTGCTCAGAAGTCTTCAGTGACTTGTCATTTAAAGAGGTTGAAATCTATCAAAAGTCGAAGGAACCAGGGAGAGCAAACGCAAGGTCCAATAAGGATCTGAGCAGAGAGGTGAAATCACAAAGTAAGATGTCAGAAATTATGTTCATCTCAAGAGAGTAAAGAAGAGTGAAGTCAAGAACAACACAAAATTGAAATGAGGACAGGGACACAAAGATCTCTTCTAATCTGCACTTATCCAGGAAAAGATCATTTAAGAGAAAAGTATAACTAAATTATATCATGAAAATATTTGGACTGTGAGGATATAATCAAAATCTGACTTAATACACTGAAAATACATATTCATTTGATGTGCTTTGTTCCCAGTGACAAGCCAATACGGGCATATGTGATAAAATCATTTTCCTAAAAAACAAGAGTATATTGACACTATTGACAATAATTAACATTTATTGGGGACTCACATTAGTTACATTGTGCCAAATCATGTTTCCTTGAAATTCTATGACATAATTAAATTGTGCAGCTATATATACCGAGGACATTATTTGTCACATCTTAACTAGTGTGAGGCAGGCTATGGTCTGCTGTCTCAGGTATTCCCTTGGATTTGGGGAAAAGTCATTGAAAACACACATGTAATGTCATCGTAATATCATATAATACATGTGGAAGTACTGTATGGATAGCCTTCGGTCTATTTAATACAAGGAATATGAATCACTGTTAGAGATTTTAAATCATAGAAACAAAAATTTCTAATCATATTTCATTTCTCTGGATCAGTTTAATTGAAGGGCATCTTGAGATTTTGAGGTATGCTGTTTAAAAAGAACTGTTTCCATATATAATGACACCTTTATAAATAAGGGATTTCTTATCACTGAAAATCCAACACGGTATGGAAATAAATTGGAGTAAAGGTCATTAAAAGGTTGAAACTGTTGTCCACAACATTTGGTTTCAAATTTTTATATATATATCAAATTGCCTCATTATTTATTAACCTCGTAAGTAAATATTTTCGTTTTGAATTTATAGAAGTAAATATTTACTAATAAAATAATACATTATAAGTTGTAAAATTGAGATTCCTGATAGTGTATCATTTTTAAAAATATATCTTTGATACAAATACTTAAAAACCAGTGATTTTGAAAAAGAATATAGACTACAATTCAGACCCTTAGATCTTCACCGCCTTTTAGACTTTAAGCAAATTGTGTAATCTCTCTTAACTCAGTTCCCTCATAGAAATGTTGGAGGAGATAATTGTCTTACAGTGTTCTAATCTGTTTCAAAGTGATAATGTATATCCTGTGATGAGGAAATCATAGTACCATCACCTACCATGTTTTATCCCAGAGTTGGAAAGGGTCCTAGGACTCATCCCATTCATTTCAAGGAGGAGAAGAATGTGTGAGCACATTGGGGCGTGAGTAACAGTTGCCCAAGGCTGTGTGCTGGTGTAAGAGGTTTCTAGTGAAAGCATAAACACTGACGAATAATTATTAAAAGAAACAAGGGTCAAACCTCATTTTCATGTAATATTAAAAACAATTTAAATAGTTAACTTAGAAGTAAAGTTATATATGATATTATATATACAGACATAATTAAAATCAAAAGATTTAAATATGTATGAATCACCCTCTAGAGTTTAGCTTTTCTGTTACTGTAAGAAATCAGTGTCTCGCACATTTGAAAGAGGACTTGCATGGGGCTTAGTATTATTTACATAATATTTTATTTGCAAATACATTGCTTATGACAGACACAGAGTATCTGTTTATAGATATGTACATATACTAGTATATGTTTATAACTCATGTATTTGAAAAGAGGTAAGTGTTCCTTTCTCATTAAACATAGAATCTCCTGGTAATATAATGCCACACATTTTTGCAAATATTCACTATCTAGATAATCTCTCTCCCTTGGCATACTCAAATGCCATATGTTTTACCGTTCAAAAATTTATTACTATTTCAGAAAATGCTAAATGGAATTGCATAGTGAAAGTAATAAAAATGAACTGTGAGAATTTATACATACATTTTTCCACATCTCTCATTTTATCATGTTTGTGTAGTTTAGCAATATTTTTCCCTCCTTTGTAGAAGGTAATTCCACTACATTTGCCAAGAAGTCACTGCTCTAGAAAATGCAGGAGCTGAAGTTTGAGCCAGATAGGGAGTTTCTTGTAGAAAGCTTATCTGTACCAGATCATCAAAATGGGCAAGGTTCCCCCCATTTGAAGGTAATCCTAAATATGTTCTACAAGCAGAACCACAAAAGAAATGCTAAAGGGGAGTGAAAAGACTCCATTGGGAAAATACGTAAAGTATCAGACCCTTCCAAAATTTTTCAAAACTTAAGATAACCTCAAAATTTTTAGTTCAAATTTAATATATCAGTTTCCGTTAGCAAATGCTACAGTTTACTGTTTTGTATTTAAAAGGCAGATTGTGGTTAATTCCTTCTAAGGAAGCAGTGTGGTGTAATGGAGAAAGCACTCATTTATGAGTTACAAGTCTAGTTTTGAATTTTGTCTTCAGTACTGAGTAGCTGACTAATCTTGGTGAAATTTCTAACATTTCTGAGACTCAGTTTCCTTGTATGTGAAATATTGAAAAGCTATTGGGACTTCTACTCCCAGCCGAGATGGAACCAGATTTACCCTCCCACCCGAGGCAACTGAAAAAGCAGACGAACTATATGTAACACTGGTTTTCAGGCACTGAATATTGGGCAAAGAACTACAGTGCTATCTGAGAGAGGGGAAGTGAAGAAGACAAGCCCTATGCTCCCCCAGGATAGTGCCTGGAGAAAACTTCTAGGTTGCAACTAAGGGATGGACAGAAACCAAGGGGAGACCTGGCAGTCTCTCAGAGTTGAGGAGACACGGTGGGCAATACAAGGGGGCCAAGGTAGCTAAAGTCTGCAGACAGGAGAGGGCAGTAGAGAGAGAGCTCTGGAAATTTGCAGAAGATCCCCTCCAGTCTTTAGGTGAGTAAGGATCCTACATCACAGCCTAAAGGCCAGGGAAAAGTCTATCTGAA